CCACCGCAACAAAAGTTACAGCGACCGGGCGGCCCCGGCCTCTCCTCCGGGGGATCCTCCGGGAGATCCGGGTGCGGGGGCAGGACGCGGGGCCTGGGGCTGGAACAAAGGGGCTGCGAGCCCGGGGGGGGTGACGGGCAGAGCTGCCGGGCCCCGCTGCCGCCCCGTCCCTCGCGGGGCGCCGGGAGCGTTTCCCCCGAGCCCCGGCGGGGGCGGGCGCGGCTCCGAGTGCGCCACACGGCCGGGCCTGGCCGGGCGGGGCAGCCCGGGGGGCCCAGGGACGGCGGGGGTGCGAGGGGTGACACTGAGCCCTGCGAGGGGTGACACTGAGCCCGCTCTGCCGCCGAGGGGCTGCGTTACCGTAACGGTGCCCTCAGAATTGTGAGGGGGCACGAGCAGCCTCCAGCCTGAGGGACTGATACCTCCAGAGGGCTTTGGCTCTTCTCATTGCTGTGTTTGGTTTTTTGTTGGTTTTTTTTTCTTCCCTTAAAGAATAAAACGTTCGGTGTTGTTGTGACATGGTAAAAATACTCAGGTTTTTCTAGAAGTTTAAGGCCTAAACTTGCCAAAAGACTTGAGTATATTGGCGTCTGTGAGTCATGTACGGGAAAGTGCTGGAGGTTCATTTTTATTGAGTTGGTTGTAGTTATACGTGAATTTATATGGCTTATTCAGCTGAAAAACTTAGGGGGAAACCAGCATGTTTGGGTTTGAGGAAGATACTGCTTTTATGTCTTTGCATGAAAGTTTCAAACAGCATGGAGGTAGAAACATTCATGTAAGTGTGAACATTTCAGTACTGAAAGATGAAAATGTGCATGCAAACCAGGCAAATCAAGTAATAATCCTGATCAGATTCTCACTTATCTTAAAGTAAATTTATGAAGTTAAAGGGGACTTGTTAAGCAGACCTTTCAGGTTTCACAGTTAACTGTCATGAGAAGTCAGTTTTGCGGTCGTGGGACAGGTGTTTGTTTTACTGGATACTTGTAAGACGTAAGATGTTTCTTATGGTAAAATAAACAAGATGGTTCGGTGTTCTTGTTTTCAGACATGACCCATCAGGTGATGGACTGCATGACTTCCTATGAATATTTTTTATTCAGTAGGAAGTGGTGCGTTGCTGAGAAGTTTGGCTGTTTAGTCTATCACAACATGATCTGTTTCATAAATCTCCCTCTAAACAGTGAAGTGAAAGGTTTTATGATTGTGCACCCTCAGTTGCCAGCTGAATTTGATGGGTTATTTCTTTTTTGTCAAGCGACAGCTAGCAGGGAAGCCAGTAGTAAGACCTGAAGTTGTGTCTGGGATTTGTGCTGTGGTGTTTATCTACTTCTGAGACTGCTGCTGTTGTAACTACTTTTGATAACAATTCTTAACTTGAAAAGAAATTGCGCACTTACCTGTAGGCCTTTGGTTGAGGAGTGTCTGAGCAAGCCAGAAACAACTTAGGTCACTGTCGTCATATTTGTGTATTAGTGAGGGAACAGTGTCTGCAATTTGTTATTGCAGTAACTTGCCCCAAAGGTCAGGAGGTCTTTCACGTGCCATTAGAATTGTGGCATATAAACTTGCAAAAAGAACAGGAAAACTGCTGGTTTTGAACCTTAGAGCTGAGACTTCTGCTTTGATGAAAGGCCATGTCTGAGTTTCTTGAAACTTCTCTTTCAGAGTTGTCTGTGAGCAACTTGGTGCTTTCCAGTGTTGACTAATTTGGGGCTCTTTGAGGCAGGTGTTAAAAATAACTGGCAGAGGGCAATCTGAGATAGAGAAGTTGCTCCCTTGAAACAAATGGGCAGCAGGTGACAGAGCCAAGAAGAGAAAGCTCATCTCTGGGCTTCTGTCCTAGTTTTTTGACACAAATGTTAGAATTCTAAGTGTGGCAAAAGCGATTGGTTTTTTTCTCCCCCTCCCCACTGAATGGAGTCTCTTGGCTCTGACTCCTAATTGCCTCCAGGTTTTGGGGTTTTTTTTGTAGGTACTGTAAACTAGAAAATCATAAGTCTTGTTTACTGTGCTTCAGTGGTTCTGTGGGTACTGTGGGAACTAGAACTTCAAATACTAGTAGCATGGAAAAGCTAGTAAGGCTGTAAAGTTGTTGGTAAATATGTTTTCTTGGGGAGACTCACTCTTCTGAGTCAGAAGCTGCTATCTTAGTGCTCTGGATTTGCAGAGCAAATATGTAACTTTAGCTGTTTGCTTCTTTTAACCAGTTTAACCCCTACAATACTGATCCAGCTGGGGTATTTCCCTTACTCAGCAAAAGCATACAGTGGATTGTGTCTGGACTCTCAAGAATCCTGTGAAGGGAAAGAGTAAGCACAAAGCTTCATAATTTCACTTTTCTTCTTCATGGTTCTGTTTAGATACCTCAATATTTCACCTAAAAGGAAAACTGTCTAGCAGTGAGTAGAGATGCTGAAGTTACTGGATGGAGAAATGGCTGATAGGGAAGGAATTTAAGTCTGAAAAGAGATCTGATAACTAAGTTGTTCTGATATTCCCAATGGACCTCTCTCTGTTTTCCAGTCGAGAGAGTGAAGGCAGAGGGAAGAGGGAACATTCTCCTGGAGAGGTGAGGAAGAATATCTGCTTAGGAACTGTGTGGGTCTCCACAAGTTTCCTAGACTAAAATTCACATTTTAATTAGAAGTCTGCCCTGGCATTTCTCACTGGTGATTGTCTCTGCAATATGAGTTTGTAGAACTGTCAAAGTTCAGTATTAGCTGCAGCATCCTAGGGATAGCCTACCTGTGACACTGAACACTGCTTGAAATTAAAGCAGGATACATTTTATTCGATAGCTCTTCTGGTTTATAGAATGGCAGCCAAACTTTGTCCAAGTCTGTCCTTCACTATTTCTGGTAGTGACCCATATTGGAGCTTACATGGTTAATCAGATTATTTTAAAAGAGGCACTTGAGGGTGGAGTCATCCCTGTCAGAAACATTGCTGCTTATTCCTGAGAACTGTCTAATTATTGAACTTGTTCAGGCTGTGTACCTTCACATTCCCATTTTGTTATGCCAGCAGCAGTGTCTCCATTTGGAGTTTTATTTCTGTTTTTCTCAGGTTTCCTTTTTATTTGACAGGACTATTCCAGTTGCTCAAGTTCAATAAGCCTGGTCCTGTTCTGTGTGGTTTTTGAAACAGTATCAAAATTGTGGCCTTACTTAAAGGACTGTGTTTATTGATCATGACTTTAGGTAAGTGTCCTTCAATACAGTCTTTAGTTTCAGTTTGGTACCTTATCAGACTTAGGTCATAGTTTTGCCAAGGGTGTGTTAGAATTATTCTACACCCAAGTCTTTTCCTTATTATGGCAACAAAAAGCACTGGTTTGGACTACTGTAAAACATTTCCCATTTTTTATATCATCTCTTCAGATGAGGAACTGGATATTAATATCTCCCCCCCCCAAAATTACTACTGAAATTCTGTGTCCTCAGGTAACACCTGCAGGTAGAAGAGATTTTGTGCCACCAGTGAGTGGGAGCAGTTGCCCCAGACAGATGCAGGGCTGGGCTGAGCAGTGATACCCTTCACACAGCAGTGATTCAGTTCAGGTGATGTGGCTGACTCAGTGAACTCCTGCCTCTCTGCTGGGAAGAACGATCTTCTGCTTTCCCTGAGAAACACCCTGCTGCTAAATCGGAGTTAGGAGCTGCTGTGAAAGGCTTGAAAGGGTTGCTGTCTGCAGATTACTGCAACTGAGGGGGGAACACTTTATTTTCACTTCTAAACCAGTATGGATGAAAAGGTGTTACCTGTGAAGCTTTGACAAGTTGGGTATATACAGAAAGTGAGTGTATTAGAACATGCCACAGGTCTTCAAAGACATAAGATTTTAATATTGAACTCACTCCTAGTAATGCCTGGTAACCTTTTAAAAATATTATATATTTGTACGCAGAAGTAACCACATAATGAATGAGGTGTTCAGTTCTGACCTCAGACTCTTCTTAATTGATTTTTTTTTTTTTTAAATCACTAGACATTCTGTAGTGAGGTTGAGACCTTTGTTTTGCACCATGTGGATACCAGGACTGTATAAAAGCACATGTAGATTTGTCTTGATAATATGGAGGCTTTGGCTAGAATTAGATATACTTGGTCATCTAAAAAAGGCACTCATGCAACTATTTTCAAACATAACTTATGCAATAGAAATTGAGACATTTAATGTTGTTTTATTTAGCAAACCAAAATTAAACAAAAAAATTGCTAAAAGAGCGAAGATTTTAATTTCTCCTTCTATGCCAAGACTGTAATTGGAAAAAGAATATTGTAAAAAAGAGTAGGAGAAGTCTTTTGCATCTGGAAGGCAGGACCTTTCTGACATTACAGCCTGGTTGTGTGATGTGTGAAAGGCTGTAACTAACACTTCAGGACTTTGCAGACAGTTCCTCTCTACCATGTATGAAGAGCTTCTAAAATATCCTAGAAAGTCACAGTGGTGGGCTTCAAATAGAAAGGCTGGCTTATGTTGAGTCTTCAGTGTAGAGGAGATGGTGCTTATTTCCAGTGGGTTACTCATGTGAGTTAATGATACAGTAGGTTCAGAACCGGCACTGTTGTGGTCCTTGAAAGAGCTCTCTGTGCCCTTTGATAATGAAAAGAATTAAAAGTTTTGCAGAAAGAATAAATTCACTCAACATGCTTCGTCATGTGAGCTGTTCAGGAGGGTTTGTGTGTTGATGACTTGATAACCTCGGCGTGGATTGAAAATCACAGTTGTTAGGAAGAACAAAGTGTGGTGGTGTCCTGTGCACTCTGGAATGCTGCTGTTGCTCGCAGCCCAACAAAGGCTGTGTGCCATGTGAGGTGGCCAAAATTGAGTTTACTGGATTAAGGACCTGGCTGCCATGTAAAAATTCTTTCCTGAGTTAGTGGTGACCTGGACCGTGTCCCAGTCTGGTTCAGTGCGTGGCTGCACAAACAGCTGTCCCGGCACAACAGAGGGCACAGGGGGAGCCTGAATCCAGCAGTGCCAGCACAGCCTGAATCCAGCAGTGCCAGCACAACCCTCCGGGGCACTTGGGGCCACTCCCGGGTGCAGCACCCGAGGTGACATCGGGCCCTTGGGCCTCCACCGCTGTCTGTTTGTTACTGTGACAGCTGGACCAGACTTAACTGCCAGTAGTTTGTTTACTTGTAAAATCTATTTCCTTCCAGGAGACTGGAAGATGTAAAGATGGAGACAGTTCTCTAAATCATATTTTTATTATTATTAGAAAAGAAAAAGAGTGGGTAAAATTTCTAGGTAGGCACAAGTGCTTGTAGAAGCTGACTAGCAGAAATGAGCACTGTTGTAGTTATGCCTCAGTGTGGACTGTGGTTCAGTACTGTCAGGTTGTTTGCCTTTGTGTAGTTTTGAAGGGTTATAAACCCTGAATTCCTGGCTGAAGTTGAATATTAGGTTGGGTTTGTTCCCTTTAAGTTATGAATGGTGGTGTTCTGTTTTGGAGAGACACGATAGCTGATGATTCAGTATGCGTTCCACTGTGTTTCTTCAGCTGCAAACTCTGTAGGAGAAACGAAAATGACCTTTCACCACCTCCTAGAAGACAATTGGAAAATTAAATGACTGATTATAGTAAGGAGAGGCTATTTAACGTTTAGATCTTCAATCAGCCTGCCTGTTTGCAGTGCACTTGAAGCTAATATGATCTTTGATGGAAACAAGCGTACCAGTTAGTGTATGTCTTACTGATTTCTTGCTTCCAGCTGTAATCTCTTAAGTGTGGTATGAAAATAATGACCTCGCATGTGTTTTCTTTTTTATCTCTTGCATACAAGACATCCTGGTGTATTAAGTACTGTAGAGCAGCTAATATATGATGTCTGAAGATTTAGTATGAACTGTATTCTCCTTTCTCTCAGACCTCGTAATTTTTTGCCCCCTCTGAGAGAGAGTTCAATACAATTGCAGATCTTGGAATAGCTTCTTCAGTGTGCATTTAGAAAGGCAGGAGCATAAGCTCTGTCAAAACTTGCATAGTGGCATTAGAAAAAAATCAAAGCGTTCCTGAGCAGTGGTGTACAAGATACCACAGGCTTCCTTGAATTTTTGAAGTAGGAAATAACTGTGGTAAGAGTTGTGGTATTCAACTTATTAATGGTAAACACTGGTTGAATGCTGTGGTACTGAAATTTTGCGTGTGGGGGACAAAGTTCCACGTAAATGGCTCTGATGTGAAGGCCTGTGGCAGGGCAGCTGTGAGGGGAGAGCTGGGCTTGGTGGCTGGGCTGCTGGCAGGTGGAAGGGCAGGAGAGCAGCAGGACCTCTCCTGGCCCTGGGTGAGCCTGAAAAACCCCTGTGTGTGTCTGCAGGTGTGTCTGGAGCACAGCAATTCTGCAAAGGGAAAAGGTGGAAAAGAGGAAGGTTGTTCTCAGAGAGGGGGAAAGGGCATGGATGGAAGGGGATGCTGAGTGATTTGAACAGTTGAAAGATGTAAATTGCTGAAGTTAAACAGAATGAAGGAGAAGCCTGGATTTTTTGGGTGACAGCAGAAGTGGTATCAGACTTTGCATGCTGAGGAGTAACAGCAGTGATTAAAGGTGAGGGCAGGTCTGCAAGGAAGTTTTTTATCGAGTTGAGTTGGGGAGAGAGGGATGTGTCACAACTTAGTTATAACCAGTTCTTCAGTCCTAGCTGTACTAGAAGCCATTTCTTGCTACTCTGGCTTTGTGACACTGATGTTGATGATACCTTTTCAGAATGTACTCATCTGTATAGTTGCAGAAGTAGGTAATTAATAACTCTTGATGGCTGGAATGAGTTGATAATTTGTTTCAGTTAATTAGACTTCTGCAGGAATTTGGGCACATAAGGCACTGTGCTGCTATTAAAGAAGGAGTATTGGAGAATCAGATTTGCGAAATACCTTTCCCTTTAGTTTGTGTGGGTAGCTCTCATTAGGTAAAGCGTTGCCAGCTTGAGTGCACATGTAATGTGTGTGTTAGAGAACCCCTTGTGCCTGAGGGCTCCCAAACAACCAGCCTCTGACAACTGCAAAGATGAGGGGACAAGCACACAGTGGGGTTTTTGTGTGTGAGGAGCAGGACAGCTTGATCCCACTGCTGTGAGGTGCTATGGTAAAGCCCTGGGTGTCATCTCAGCTCCACAGCCATCTTCCCAGTAAGCAAGTCACTTAGTCTGGAGCGGTGCTGTGTGCTTTGCTCAGTTTTCAGTGTGGATGATCTGTAAGTTTATTTGTTGCTGTTAATATTGGCAAAGCAACGTTCCTTAGCTGGGTTGGCCCTGAGCAACAGTTTACACTTTCAGAGACTACACACTGCTCTTGAACAACTGTCACTTGCTGTGCTGTTAGTGAAATCGGGCCTGAGTTGTGTTTGAGCAGCAGTACAGTAACATTTGGGGGCTTTTACTTTGGGTCCATACAAAACTCTTAGGAGTGTTTGTTTTTTCTCTGAATGGAGAGATGGCATGCTGCATTGTGATGATGACCTGGAGAGCAAAATGTTGCTTCACAGTGATGATCAATAACTGCTCTATCAGAAAAGTGCCTCTTCTTCCTTTTATACTCAAAATTCCTATTTTACTTGTGTAGT